AAAGGAGCACTACTTCTGTAGCTAAAAATATTTACTTTACAAGGTTTGTCAAAGGTCACCCAAGAACAGCCTCTTCCAACAAGCCATCCCTGCAGCCTTGGGATGAATTGCCATTTCATTATGGCAAGACATTCAAGTCTGGCTGTTTAACTCCTTTAAGACCAAGATATGACCCCATTTTCTTCTGCTCTATGAGCAAAAAGAGAGCATCAACTTTCACTGCAGTTATTGTGCTTTCCATCAGAAGAGATGTTCGGATCTCAGAATGTGAAGGAAGTAACAGATAAAAGGAGAAAAATTGACTTGAGATTTTCATAAACCTGTTGTCAAATTACTGTTGCAAGCAGCTGTTAGAAGAGACTCTAGATGTAGGGTATTAGAAACTGCCAAACCAGAGACGGACTAAAGAGTCAGCTTTCACCTGGCAAGAGGCTAACGGTGAAGATCTGAGCTTCAGCGTGGGAGAAGCCTCATTGCGCGCCTTCACTAGCAGGCAAAAGGAACAAACAGTGGGGCTGCACAGGACAGAAAATGGCTGAAAACTAGAGAGCAATTGTCACAAGCTTTGAAGGAATCCAGTACGCAGATGATGGGGTTGCATCAAGGCAAAATCTGAACATAACTGCAGAGATGGAGAAAGACGCAACACAGCGTGCTTGGGGTATTTGCCATTATAATTATTGAAGCCAAGACTTCAGAAAGCGTAAGAAAATAAATGGAAGACTGGATGTCTTCCACCTGGGAGAACACCACACTGCCATGAATCCCCCAGAAAGCATCAGGAGATAAAGCAGGTCAGAGTGGCAGGGCTTTGGCGCTTCCCTCTCAAGAATCTGCATCCAGTTGCACGCAGGTTACACAACTCCACAGACTCGTGCTTTCAGGTGAGCTTCGATGCTCGCTTAGCTGACTGCATTATTCAGCTTTTAAAATGATAGGCGAGACCCAACAGGCTACAAATCAAAGCCCGTTTTGTCCAAGAATGCGTTTTGTTAAAGGAGAATCAGTCCACTCCACATAGAGCTATTTCAAGGCGATGAGGTGATATTCAACATGCTGGTAAAAAGAGGAAAAGTGTGGCAGTGTTTCAAAAACAATAATTGAAAGGCCACAATATAAAGTCCTGATACACGGGAGATTCTCCGTTAATGCTCATGTAATCAGTATCTAGCAAACCTTAAGCTTCGTCAATCACACTGCATAACTGATTTGTATTCTTCTTATTTAGATTGAACTAGCTGATCCAGATGGTGTTTTAGCAGAGGCCCAGGCGATGTTTGATGACAGCCAAAATTAATAACCGGATGCTGAAGAAAAAAAAAATGCAAGATAAGAACACGATCCTGGGTTACTTATTCATTGGAGTATCAAATCCACACTGCAGGGTATGGTAGTGTGGTCTGCCTCATTTTTCCCTCAAGGCTGCCTATGTATGCTTCACACTGCAGGTGGCTTCGCTCAGAAGCTTCCTCCCACCCTCCATTATTTTGGAAAAGAAAAAAAAGAAGAAAAAAAAAAAAACACAAGCAGCAAAACAGTGGAAGACAGGCAGTGACTCTTTGCCCAGCTCCTCCGACTTACTCCTCCTGTAAAGAAATGGCACTCCTCTTGGTTTCAAGGTCTTCCACATTGCCTTAGAGAAGAAGTGGGGTTTCTGTTACATGCTATAAAAGCAAAGCCCTAGAAAAGTAGAGTCAAGTAACTGCTCCCTCCCACTCCCCCCAAACTTAGCCCAATACATACCCGTGAGCCAAGATGGCTTTGGACATTATCACAGATCATGTTTCAATTAGTACTTGTATTAACACAACTTTACTTGCTCTCACTGTGCGTTTTCTGTAACATGACACTGGTTTTCCTCCCTAACCCCCGGGAATGCGGAGCACCACATCTCAGCCGGCTCTACTCCCTGGCCAGCCCACTCGCCGGACCCCCGGCACTCAATGACGCTGCACCGGCTGCTCCATTTCTACCTGACGCGAGGACCACGCACCAGCCACAGGGAGCTGCGGCGCTTCCGACCGGTGCCCACGAGAGCGGAGGAAGGTGGCACCGCAGCTGGCTGGTGAAAAACAAACTGTGGGAGAGTGGGTCACTGGCTCACCTGATGAACACTGTGAACGCTTCTGCGTATTGGCTCCTGTTTACACCTCCTTTGGTCCCTTGCCTCTTCGTGTTTTCTAGGCCGAAAGATAACCTACTTTCCTATTTAAGCACTCGGAGACAGTAACAATACGACATGCTTAGTCCCAAGATTTAAGTAGTGCTGACAAGAGGAAAAACATGTCAACCACGTTATATTCTTTATACTTGCCTGCGTGAACAGGAAATTTTATCTTCATATTACGACTGAAATGAGTAACTGAATATATTTAAGAGATCCTCAGAAATATACAGTTCAGATTAGCACAAGAAAGCCGAAGAGATGAGGGATATAGAGAAAATAAGCATATTTTAGGCCTCTAGATAACAAATAATCAGCAACAATTGAATATATTTTATTTCATTAAAGTATTTTATATCTAAATAAGTGATATACAATAACCAATGTTTAAAATGCTTGAGGTAAATGCATAATACCATTAGTATAAATAAGGGATAAAAAACAAATTCTAAGTGCACTCTTAATGTTTAGATCCATGTGTTTGGGTATCGTTACAGCCTCTGGCACACAGTTATGGGACTGGGCCAAGGTGTAACTTTCATGACCATTTCCACAGCTGGAAAAATGAGACATACTCAGTATCATGGCTTAAAGTGCAGAAAATAGTCAGAAAAGCAGCTGTAATAACAGTGCCATTAGCTCAGAACCTACCAGCTTGAAAAAGTTAAAAATACGGTTGTCCTACTAGCTTCCAATTCTGTATTTCTTAAAACAAGAAACCCCACACTTCTCTGTCATTTTGTAAAAATCCTCAAAATAAATTCAGCTACTTATCCCAGACAGCAAGTAATTTTACAAAATAAGCTTGGAAAATATATTTTCTGGACTTCCATTCAAAATAACATGACTTTTCAATACACAATTTACAGACAGAAGCATAATTTTTAAGTCTGGCAGCACCCTTTCAATCATTTGCTCTAGTGTGACTACTTGAGTCAGGTTTTCTTCCTTTACTGAAGGAAGTTTTAAAGAGCCTTTTTTTGCCCAAGGCAAGACTACTATTCCAGTAAAGGATGAGAAAATACACTTTGTGCCTATGACTAAGATTTCATGCTTTGGAATGCTGCTTCATTAATGCCTTTACTAACATAATCCTTCCAGTGCTCCACGAATGAACACCCGTGGGACTGGAGTCAGGCATCTCACCATCAGCAGGCTCATATCAGTAACAGAATATACTTGAAGCATAACGTAATGGCAGAGCTAGAGAAAATCCAGTTTGGCACCTGTATGCCAGAAGGATTTGTGAAAAAGGCAAGTAGAAAGCTGTTTTCTGCTTGTGAACCAAGAACACCCCTGCAAGAATGCTGCTGAAAAAAAAAACAGCCTAGCAGGTTTTTTTAATGGTTATTTTTCAGAATACAAACACACCACGGGTAACCCTGTCAACACTTTCCGCTGCGGTGGTGTGACATGAGAAATCAGTGCCATTCGCTTCCTGAGGCTGCTTCAGTAGCAAACACACTCTGGCACCCCAACTCTGTAGACGCATCCTACAGTTCATAAGGACATCAGGATAACCCGAGACGGAGGTTGGGTGTGGGCACCTGTGTTCAGCGCAAGCTCGGTCAGATACAGCTCTGCTGTGTTGTCATGTTCACTCCTGTCCGATTTCAAAATCCCAGGCTTCTGTTCCACAGTGTTAGCCATGATAGGGAGGTCAAGTTTTGTTCCATTAGACTTGAAACCTGTCTCAGTTTGTGACGGCCCAAAGCTGCTCCGTAGAAGAAATGTATTCCAAAGAATTCCACTTCTAGACATAGCTAGAATAACTGAAGCAGCCCAGGACAACTGCTGCAATATTTCTTGGACAAACCTCTTAAGACAACAGACCAAATGGAAGTTTTTGCTTAAAGAGGAAATACACAGTAGCCTGCCTCACTGTCATAGGTGTGTGTCTGAAAGCAAGCAGCAAATAACCTACTTTCATAAATAAGTCTACACAGAGAAAAGTAGTCTTCCAGATCCTTTGGAAGCAATAAATGTATAACACATTATTAAATACAACACTTCAGGAAGGAAAAGACTTTTTCTAAACAAGGAAGACCAAGGCATAGCTAATTACTTGGGAATCCAATGCAGAGAAAGCACCTTTTGCTGCTTGTATCTGAGGATTTATTAAAAATATATTTTTAATATAAAAGTACAAAATAATTACTACTTTGGCTTAAAATAAAAAACAGCAGTGGTTCTGATTTTCAAGCAAAAAAATTATCCAGTGATAATTTCCATCTAGTTCCTTCTTTTAAAAAAAGAGATTCCTAAATGGGAAACAGGCAAATCTATCTCTCCAGATATATGCCAGCTTGTGAGAACTTTAAAACAGTTATTGCTTTGCTTTTCTTCCAAGGAAGAGTAGAGTAGTCTTATTCCTACTCATGTGGCCATACCACATCGCAGTAAGACTAGTCACGGGTGTTTAGCGAGTTATAAAATGTGTAACTGCCACGGGAAAAAGGCGCGGGAGAAATCAGTAAAGTAATAATTACTTGGCAGCAAAACATACTGGGGGAAGTGATGGGAAAGCTTTCACTCCTACCATCTGTCAGGCTTTCTAGAGAGAACAGCGCTAGCACTGAAACCAAGTGCTAATTGCTGCGTATCCCAAGTAATTTGTATCATGCCATGCAATATGGATCGGACAAGCAGTATCTTCTAGTAAATGCCAACATCAAATAAAAAGACGGGAAAAAAAAATCTTCTCTATCTGTCCCTAACAAATACCCAAATTTACAGTTATTCTCTATCTATTTATACAGCCACCATTCAACATGAACAAGAAGCAATCTAGGCAGTGCTCAGAAGAGGAGGGATGCATGTGCAGGGCAAGCATACTCCACCGTCCGTCCCTTCAGATGTTGAATAGCCAAAATTTTATGAAAGGAACATTTTTTTTTACCTCTCTAAAGAGTTAGAACAACATTTATAATCTCTCTTTAAATGGTAATCAAGAGGTCAACCAGTTCATCCACAGGGGAGTCAACATAACAAGGCAGAAGCACAATAGTGCGTTTATTTTCTTTAAGTACAGGTTTACGCAAAATGGGTAACAGCTGAGGAGATAGTATCACCTCTGTGATCCAGCTGATCCTGGAGCCGTGCAAATTCAGCAAGTTCATTCAGTTCTTGAAATTGCCTGTCTGTTTTATGGCTCACCAGTGACCTGTAGAAGTGGACTGCAAACACAATGAAAATCAATCCAAAGGGAACCATAATAGATGTTGATGCAATGGCTGCTGCCTGTCCTGATGTGATGGTAGAACTGTTGCTCTGGAGTGGATTATCAGTTTTCTTCTTTAAAGGAAGAAACTTCACCCAACACAGTAACACCACCTCTGCAAGAAAGAGCAAAGTCCCAATGACAGTAGAAAACGCCCACGCAAGCTCAATGTGCCTATGCATACGCTCATGAGGAGATTCCTTTACAGAGTTGAGATTATGCACGTTGCTAACAGCCTCTATATTTGGAAGAATGCAGGTACTTATCATGAGCGCAAAAAGGTGAACTGCAACAAGGACAGTAGTACAGGCACTGAAGGCTATCAAGAGACCTTGAGGGTAGTCATGTTCTGCGTCTAGCTGAACTTCTACCATAGCCACCTGAAAAGGAAAGAAACAAGAGATGCGATTGCCTACTTTACATATTAATCAACTATAGATTATTTTAACTTTAAATCATGTTTCTGGAAGATAATCTGATTCAAAGTAAGTCTGCAGACTGACATGAAGAGAAATTTAAATGCACCCTTTTCATTAAGCCCAAATTTAGGTCTGAGCAAAGGCCACCATTTTCATACTTACTGTTCTGTTGCAGAGCAATCCACCAGTACAGACAAAAGCTCTTAAACAACACAACCACCTTGCCACCTCCAGCTCATCCCAACAAAACAGCTGAACTTTGTGATCAACATATTTGGACTCCTAAAGCGAAACATTTCTTCTTTCCTGTGTTATATTGTAGACGCAGCTTTTGATCTTTTACTACAGATCATAAATTTTGCTGGGTATTGGGAAATGTTTTCTCTCCCATATGTGTGTAGAATGAATACCGTATGAAGTCTTTTGAAGTAGGTATCTATAACATGAAAGCCTGTGAAGGCAGCAGACTGCCCATGACAATCCTGACGGTCCTT